CTTATATGAAATATGCCAGTTCATTGAAGAATTAAGCAAAATAAAAGAAACAACCAAGTCACTCATTGTTAAACATTGTCAATGCTAAGTGTAAATCCTCACTGCCTTTCTTCTAGGGCTATGTATATATCCAAAATTTTATTTATAAAAGTAGAATTGTATTACCATGCATTTTTGCAGATTTATTGTTGTTACTCTTTATTTAAAATATAATATGAACATGTTTTATGACATAAATTGGAAGTTTCTAGTCTAGTGTAGGTTGAAATTTCAAATAGTATCTGTATACTAGTCTTTTCAGAATTTTCAAACTGTTGAAGCTCACTGTGAAACTCTAGGGAAAGGAAATGGTTGTAGGATTTCCCCAATTTTTTTTTTTTCTGTGCTGTTTTAAAACATGCTTTGCAGCCAGGGATTTAGCTCAGTGGTTCCGCCGCCTGCCTTGCAAGCGGAAGGATCCGAGTTCCATCCCCGATACCAAAAAAAAAACCAACATGCTTTGCAATGTGCCACCCTACATAATTTTAAACACTAAACATTTCCTTTGGTGTGGACTAACCAAAATCTATTTCATCAGTCCCTCCTTAGAGAAACTGTCACCATTATGTTTAGTATATTCTTTAAATAAATTATTAAATTTCAAGCCTATTTCTTTTCTAACTCCCTAAAGAAATACCATAATTCAATGATGTATATTTTTCCCAGTTTAACATCCCATAAAACAAGATGTATTTTTTAAAATTTTATTTTATTGATACATTTTAGGTATACAATATAGTGACATTCATCGTTGGAAATTTGCACCTTTACATACTCTCGGTTCTTATTTTTCCCCCTTCCCCTGCCCTCCCGTCAAACCTTCCATCCCTCCCTATTTACAAAGACTTTGTTTCCATTTTTCCATTTTCTCATATTAATTCCATTCCCTTCTTTCCTTTCCCACACCCCTCCCACTTCCCCTTCCCCTTAAAACAAGATGTATCTTGTAGCAGCAGTGGTGAAAACCTTGTCTTGTGTTTGTTCAGGGAAAACCCACTAAATGAAAAAAAGAAATACTGCAAACAAAAGTAACGTACTCACCTGAGAACTATTTCTATGCCAGTAACTCTCCAGCACTTCACAATCTTGGTGGGGGTGGGGAGGAGGGGCCCAGAATCTTCTGAAATACCAACAATACCAGCAACGAATTCTGAGGCCCAGACTTATTGGAAATGGAGTATTTCCTTGGCCTCTATTTTTACCACTTTTCCTGGTGATTCTGACATACACCAAACTTGGAAAAGCACTAAATAGAGAATGATATTTCAGGAGGGAGCTGCTCTGAGTATAAAAGTCATTCAGAATAGTTGAACATGCATATGAAGAATTTTAGAATATCTTAGCCAACTACTTTCATCTCTTCCCTTTTTGTATGTAGAGTGATAAATAATAAAGTTCAATCTAACTACATTTGGAAGAGTTTTTCCAGAAAGTGGTAATAAAAATTCCAATGCACAAGAGAACACTGTGTTACAATTTGATTGGTAACAGTATTTTTTCTTTTTAGTGGAACATAAAATATTGGTTTGTCATATAATTTATGTGTCCATTTTGTTGGACCCTATTTTGGCACGTAAATAAATATCTTACATAGAGAAGGTGTTCAACAAATGTCTGATAGTAATGATGAATAATAAAAGAAACCAAAACATAAAGTCCTTGAGTTGCTCCATTAAAATATATTGCATAAGTAAATGTGTCCCAGAGCTGTCTTTCGAATGACAAATATGGTCACATCTTTGTTCTTTCTAAAAGCCTATGGTGACTTCCCCTTTCCAGGGAGATAAAGTCCAAAGTCCCTCGCATCAGAACAAGGTGTTCATAAACAGTCACATGCCTACTAATCTCGTCTCTCAGGGCTACCCCAGTCCAAGCCTCAGCCACAGTCCACTTCCTGGCCTCCTTCTGTCCCTGTGCTCTTACACACACCACTCTCACAGCTTGGAAATCCCTCCCTGTCTTGAATTGGTGAAGCCCTCTCTCTTCATCGGCTCGGCCCAGGCCCAGCTCAATACCTGAAAGTCAGGGACTAGTCATTTTCCCCTTTGTTCCCATTCTCCCTGGGCACAGTGATACTGAAGAAATCACACTGTAACATTGCTGAGTTACAGCAATTGCTGGTTGAGTTGTATTTTCTTCCACCCAGAATGGGAACTTAATTTAGTAATCTGACATCTGATGCTTTCTGAGCAGGTAGAACAGGTTAAAGAAATGTTTGTTGGTTTGAATGAAGGGATGGCCTTGGGGCAAGATAAATTCACCTGTGACTTTCAGCCTACTCATTCTCTCATTTGCTCATTCACTATTTCCTTATCTACAGGGCAGGCATTATGCTAAGCTCTAGAAATAGGGTAGAGACAAAAACAGAAATGATCACTGTCATCTTGAAGTCTATAATCTACCAGGACAGACAAAGCTTAAATAAATAAATGCACAAGCAGATATAGCTACACAATGTGCCTAGTCTTGTGACGGGGTTGCCTGGGACTCTGTCTCAAAACCAGCTACAGAAGTCTTAGAGAAAAGGTGACTCCTTCCAGAAGCCACCTGAAAGCCCTTCGTGGGCACTTCTTCTACCCAGCATGTCCTTGTCTTCTTGCAGCTGTGCTGTGGTCCCTGTCAAGCTGTTCTCTCAGTGCCCTCTTCCTTCCCCCGCTGCACTGCTGAGGCAAACCGTGTTCTGGAAGTGACACCCCACACGCACAAGGCTGACCTTCCCCTCCATAGCTCCCTGACATTCTGGTCTATGAAGTTCCCCCTGTAGTTAATGTAAAGGGCTATACAAGTGAAAAAACGAGGGCTACAGAAGAGTATAAGCAGGCAGCACTGATTTAAATGGGAGCATGGGGACAGCAATAGCCAGGGGGAGTCAGGAGACAGAAAAGATTTTCAGGACTGGATAGCTGGTCCAGACTAAGTCTTAAGTACCCCAGGATTCCTGCTGATGACACCAGTGCCTCTTTCTCCTTTGCTGGACTCTGTTGGCCTTAAATCCCTGCGCTGTTTCTTTGCTGGATATCTGAGCGTGCATTGTGTTTAACTCTCCGGCCATTGCCCATCTGATCTTTCCAACTATATTCGAAGGTCTTGGAGGTCTGCACCCTCACAATACTTGGCACCTTGTAGTGGTGCCAAAATGTAAGAAATAAAATGAGTACCTAGTCATTTATATAATGTACAGAAATTAATGCATTTAATCACCACAACTCTGTTATATCACCCTTTTTCTACACAAGGAAGCAGATGCATAAAGAGGTTAAAGAGTTTGTAAAGGTTAAATAGTTTTCATGCACCTAATAACTTACAGAATATTTTCATTCATGCAAATTATTTATTTCTTCAATAAATAAATGTAATGGAAGCTTTAAGACCTCAATACAAAACCAGAATAAGGAGAGCACTGTGTTGAGCAAGTCCAGGCTGAGAGGGCAACCTCAGAGGCTCAGCAGACAAGGACGCCCAGATGCACCAATGTGCTTCTCAGCCGGAAGTGGCGCTTCCTCAGCTCCCCATAGCAGCCAGCCTGGACAGTAACTCCTGAGAGAGCAACTGAGAGCACGTGAGGGAGCCTTCCCTTCCAAACTCTCAAGGAGTTTACTGATGTGAATGGAATGAGTCCTTGTAAGCCCAGCAGACAGAAGGGTCCCCAACAGTGTCAGGAAATGGGGTGACCCCCTGTTTGGACCCATGACTGTTATTATCTCACAGAGGCAGCTTATTGGCTATCCATATCTATCCTCCATTTCCTCCCCAATAATAGATCACTGATTATCTGGGGCTACAATGCACCCAGCTAGAAGACTGTATTTTCAAATCTCACTTGTAGTTAGGGGTGAACAACCAAAGAGCACAAGTACTGCGTGGAAGGTACAGAAAAGCTTTTAAAGAGGTTAGTGGAGGCGGAGGACGTAGCATAGCGGTAGAACACTTGCCTAATGTACACAAACCACTATGTTCAATCCCAAGTACTGGGAAAAAAAGCCAACTCAAATGAATCATGTTCCCTTTGCTCTCCACTTCTTGACTAGAACATGATCATGATGGCTGGTGCACAAACAGCCATTCGGGGTCAAGAGGATTCCTTGAGAACCAAACTATTTTCTAAAGATGGCAGAACAGACAGGAGTTGGACTCCTGATAGCCAAGCACTAATTTTCTACTAGTCTTAAATATACTCTTGTGTTTTCTACTGAGAAAAAAAGACAAGCTTGTCTTACGCACGCTTTTTTGACCTTTCTCCTGCAGCCAATCCTACTCATGTGAGATGATTTTTTCTCATGTGCTACCGAAAATGGAAAAATAATGAGTATGTTTGCAATTACTGAATTTAAAACTTTTTCTTATGTTATCTTATTTCCAAGGTATGAAAATAAATGCAGCAAGCTGACTCACAGGACTTAGACTTTGCTCATGTTGTCCTTGATTTGTGAACCCTCTTCCACATCTCTGTCTCAGGAAGTCCCCTGTATCCTTCAAGATCAAGCTCAGGTGCCAGCTCTTAAAGGAACTTTTTAAATCCACTCTCATGCATATAGCAGAGTTGGTGGTGAAATACTGTTTCATCCTGATTTAAACTCACTAGGGGTGTTTCTGAAGCTAGTCTGCTTCCTCTGCTGCAGTAAATCCCACCAAAAGGAATATCTTTTCCAGTTACCAGTTCAAGGAAACTACTTTTCAAAGTGCAGGAATTTCATTCTGACTTGGATAAACTTAGTAAAAAAGTTAGCTTTCTAGCACAGAGTTCCAACCTGATAAAATGGAGCTCCACCCAATATTCTGCAGAAGTGCATAATTTATTTTTCCCAGTTGCAATGCTGTAACTGGTAGACCTTTAACTAAGTATCCACTACTTCCAGAGTGGTCTGGGGCTTTTTGTTTTAACTGTTTTTCTTATTTGTTATCAGACTACTGGATTCTAAAATGTGTACAGTATTGGATATTTTACATAGAGAGATACATACTTTTTTGTTGCTTGAATGTCACTGAGCATTCATTTGTATCAATAGTGCTTCTGAAGGGCAAAAGGTGGTGCCGCTGATTTTCATTTCTCTGGGATTTGTGCATCAGGTTGCTGAGAGCTTTGGCATTTGCCTCTTTAGTGTTTACAAATGTTGCCAAGTTTCACTCTGTACCTCACAGATTGTCTCCCTGGTTCAGGTGAAACCAGCAACATTTGTTTTAAAATACTTCTTGCCAGGCTTTGTTTGCCAAGGCTGATGTGTTTCATTGCTAATTCAATCATGCTATGACAGCAGAGCATGGAGCTTTTTCTGTGTGGTTGAGCATTGTGGCACAATGCCTGCAAGTACCTGGCTGTCAGTGTTTCCATAGGACACAAAGTGGAAAAGGTCACAGGAGATACACCTTCCTGAGAACAAAGTGTGGCCCCTCACAAGAAAGGGACAGCGCCCAGCTTCTTCTCTGGTCGCTCTGCGAACCTCTTATTACAAAGCGTAAGCAATCGTATCCCTGGAGAGCAAGGGCAGTCTTCACTATATTCTTGCTGAATATCACACAAACCTGGAGTGCTTTCCCTTATTGGGGTAGCAACAGGTACTTGTTTGGGGTTAGTTTTCAGGGCTGGAAGTGAGTAGGTAGATGGATGGTTTCATTGTGGGTTAGTTTTCGTTGTTGTTACTGAATAACCACCATCTCCCCCCATAGTACTGACATTCTAATGTATATTTTAAGCATAAGAAATTCTTTAAGCTACTGCAATCATACTTACTTGCAAACCCAAAGCTTGATATAACTGGCATATTTAAAACAATGGTGTTATTATTGGCCAGGAAAGAGCAGGTTGTCCAGATTTAGGTCCGACTAAACCTCTTGCTACTTTTTCTTTCTTTCTCTTAACCTAGAGGGAATATAGACCTTCTAGGCCCGGTGTTCTGGTAACTACTGATGGAATTTTCTATTATGGTACATATATGATAGTTTTGTGGTAATAGGTTTTACCTTACATCCAGTTTTAAAAAAAATTTCCTGTGTCTGACATGTACATTCTTATCATTTTTCCCTCTGGTAAGTTTTCTTCTGTAATCATTTTCTCATTTTTAATGCATTCAATAAGTAGGCTTCGTGAGGACTTCACTATACCAGTTTTGTTTTGGTTTCAGTTTCCTCAGATGTAGCAAGGTTATTCTGAATACTAATCAGTATCAGACTTCTTCAGAGGATATAAGGGCATGTTCCTAATAGCTTGTGGGCCAGTCTCCTTCCTACCATATAGTTCTTGGGGGAAGGAACCTTAACAATAATCCAATTTGCTGTACTCAGATACTTCAACTATTTTTCTAACCCTGTCCATGGTTGTTCTCACACTTCATTCCTGTCATCTTCACCCTAGCAGCACATTGTTTGTACCATTGTGAAAATAAATGTGTAGGAGTTTGAAAAAATCTTTGGGACACCGTTTTATTTGTTGTTTGCAAGTAGAAAATTCAATCTAAACTTTATAAAAGTCTGTGCTACCCCATTAAACCATGCTCAAATTTTATTCTCTAAGTCTTACAATGGGTTTCTTTGCTGTACCAGAGCTCAGGCCCCTTGGTAGGTGCCAGCTATAGAGGCTCTAGGGAAAAGTGTAACTGAAGAACACATTGATTTAAGCAAAGATGAGCTTGTTGAATTTTTACAGCAACAAAGAAACCAGATTAGAAGGACTTCTACATGGGAACCAGAGGATACATGGCTTAGGGTCAGGATAGAGGAAGGCAGTAAATGTAGGGAAATAGCAAATCCTTTTCAAGAAAATACAAAATGTTTCCAGCACTCTCTACCAAAACAGTCTCTTAACAACAATAATAAAAACCCTCTTAGTTACTCCGTGGTTTATCCATTTCTTTACTTTTGACTTAAACAGTTTTTCCCTTATCAAGGAATTTTAACCCTAAATCTATATATACTTAACACTGTATTTTATTCTCATTTGAGAAAATTATCTTGAAACAAGAAAATTCAAACTTACAGAAAAGTGGAAATAGTAAAATGAACTATCCTTCACCTAAGATTCACCAGGTGTGTTAGCACTTTGCACATTTGTACTTGCCTTAGAGAGATAGACAGTAAATATAGATAGATTTATATGTGGATTGTATAATTTAACTCTTAAAATAGTAGATTGAGATAGGTCGATATTCTATTATTAGACTTTGAAATTCTAAACAAATAGTCTTTTCTTTGAAAATCATATTATGATGTGATAGTATATGCTTCCATACTGAAAATAATTTTCATCTGGAGATATTTTTACTCCCATTTGCACTTTTATTTCAAAAACAAAAACAATAATTGTGAACTTTAGGGCTCCCTTTATATATCAATGAATACTTTATTAACTTTGAATCATGAAACAAATTTAATTTTAATATTTAAATATTTATAAAATTTGAAAATAAACTTTTTATGATCATTTTGTTTGAAAGTCCACACTAAGTCAATACCCCAATACAGAATAAAGAGGCAACTCAAAAGATCATGAAAAAAAGGAGATATTCAATTTTGTCAGTAATTAGAAAATTGCAAATTAAAACTACAATAAGCTATTACTTTGCAGGTATTATATTGGGAAAAAACTAGATGATGCTGATGTCCCTGCCATAACTAATTTACCTAAGGCACAGGGCTGTACAAGTATAAAGCTGTGGGGGACTCATGAAGTATCTCATCTGACTCAGAAAGAAGAGCTGGACAAATCATACTTATCTCTTGGGGACTTGTATTGACAACAAACATTTCAAAAGAAGAATAGACATCAGACTTTGGATCGAGCTGAGCTGGAGAGCTGGTGGGATGCTGGTGGGACTCTGATGGATCATAGCAGACAGAGATATGAGAGCAAGGCAGGCCTTCAGGTAGGTGAATAGCAAAGAGCACTGAAGGAACAGAGCAGTACACAGTCAGCCCTCTGCATTCATGAAGTCAACCAACCATGGATTGAAAAGATTCAAAAACAAAAATGATGCCTGCACTGAATATGTACAGACTTTTTTCTTGTCATATTTCCTGAATAATGTAGTTTAAAAACCACTTACATAACATTTATATTGCATAACATTCATGTTGCACTTACATAATATTTACATTGAAAGCAATCCAGAGATAAAGTGTATGGGGTAGGTACACAGGTTATGTGCAGGTGCTACCCCACTGGATGCAAAGGACTTGGAAGAGGGTGAGTTGAGGGTATTGTGGATCCAGTAGATACAAGATAAGGAAGAACACTTTTGGAATTTCAAAGGAAAATGACTTTCAAACATTCTAGCCAAATAATCAAGCATGTGGGTAGAATAAAGATATTTTCAGAAATGCAATGTAAAAAAAACCACCCTCAAATAAAAATGACCTTAGAATGTTTCCTGATATCTCTTTGTAATGTGTCAATTTTGATTTTAAAAAATCACTTAAGTTTTTCTGAGATGATAAGAACTCAACAAATGTGTGACATGGAAAAAATGTGTTAAAACACAGACTTCACACTATTCAGTTATGCAGTACCTTTTTATACAGTGTTGTAGGTCCTCATTAACAATCTATTGAGAAAATCTGGCATCATGACCCAATCCTATCTTCCCACCTACTTTGGAGGCTGCAGCTAAAGGACCTCTTGAGTCCAGGAGTTGAAGACCAGCCTGGATGACATAGTGAAACCCCATCTCAAAAAAATGTGTTGAGAAGTTAGACTATACCAAGTATGGAAGATAAATAAGGTATGAACCAGACTGACTTTGCAGCAGGTAACAGAGCAGTCTGGGGTTCAACTATTAAAGGAAAATTGCTAATAAGTCAACAGGGCATGACAAGTCCTGTAAAGGTAAGGACAGATCCCAGGCACAGTGGAAGCACAGAGGTGGCCACTGCAAACCTAGGATTGTCACTAGTGAGGTGGTCTGATTGAGCCAGGTGTGGAAAGATAAAGTAAGAGGCAGCTTTGAATGGAGGTAAAAGGTTCTGAGTGGGGCCAATGGAGCACCTTTCAGGGAGCAGAAACATCTGCAAGTCAAGGAATCACGAGATAGTATGTAATTCCAGAGTGCAACATGAGAAGTGAAGGGTAGGCTATGAGGCTGAAGGTGAAGGTAGGGGCACATTCAGGAGTGGCAAGGCAATAAGTTACAAGGAGTAACTTCTGTGAGAAAAGCCAAGAGGCTTCAGACAACAGGAAGTGCTGAGGACTCTAGCAAGCAGGTGCAGCCCCTGTTCTTCAGTGGACAGTGTATTCCTAAGCTGGTTCAGACCTGACAGGCCTGAACTGAACAAGCATGGATGAGACATGAGATCTCCAAATCTGCATGTGCAGGATTCCTATGCACGCTAAAGTTGAGGAATGACTTCTGACAAAATACTTACAAAATATAAATCAATGACTTCCAGAAAAGAAACACCTATATTTACAAGTCAAAGTGTTAACATACTACTGCAAACAGATTGCTAGAAACAAAAATAAATGGAAATATATATCAAAGAGAATATGAATAGTGACAGTATTTAAATACAAAAAATAAAAGGCTGGAGTTTTGCAAAAGGTTTAAATTGTTAACAGCATTAATCATGGGAGATTCCCTGAGGAGGTGAAATTTTAAAGAAGGGTGGAATGTGACCCATCTTACTGAAAAACTAAAACTATTTCTGCCCTGGAGGTAATGTAATTTGTAAAGTCAAAGGATTTTTCATTTGGTTTGGTTTTTTTAAAAAGACTTTTAAGTTACAAATAAATTATAATTGAGTTGAAAATCATTTCCTGTAGGAGAAACAGTAGAAAAAATTTTAAATTCTACTTTAGACTGTGTAATATATTAAAATAATTAGCTAAATATAATCCATAAATAAATGGATATTTCAAAATCTTACTGAAATACCCTATCTGATTCAGTTATTATTTTGACCATATATAAAAATTCATAGGGCTTTATTTTATTTAAATGATGACAAGATTATCATATAAAAGCACAATTGCCCCCATATGCCAGTCTCCTTTCCACTCATTCTATAACTGGAAGGTAGAACCTGTTCTGACAATGGTTCCAATTATTGTCTCTCCAGTGATTTGCATATTATTAACCTGGATAGATACAAACATGGCTTCACTTCCTCTATTTCACATGTAGCTAATCGGTTCATACAACAAAAGTTCCTGAGCAAAGCCAAATAAATTAGAGCACTTGTACTATTGGTGAAATATTTGGAAAGATAACAAAAGCTACCCTCCTCAAAAAATGATGAGTTTGATGAAAAGAAATTAACAAGCTGAGTCTCTCATCGCACATGATCAGCCATGCTTGCTGTCTCAGTCTGTCTGTTGGTGTTGCTATAGCTACGAAAAGCCAGTGGAACCCAATGAGCTGTCTGCAGCAGTGCCGAGAGAACCAGCCATTTTACTTATGGAAAACAGTGTGGCATATTCTGCTGAGCTTTACCCTGGAAGAAGCATTTTTAAAGAATTTATTTAGAGAGGAGAGAAGCAACGGGTATGTTAGTGTACAATTATTACAGCCACACATGCCTGCAAGCTGCTCTTTCCACAAGCTGTTGACTGCTACTGCTTGCAATTAGCTGATTGGAAAAAGTGGAATGCAGAGTGATAATGCTGCATATCTGCTATCAGGAGCAGAAAAAGATTTTGTCTTGGGAAGGCAAGCCTTTCCTCCAGTATTATCTCAGCAGCTCCCTATTTGCTTATCCTGATCCCAAAGGAGGGTGTGATCCCTCTGCTAACACTGGTCTTGTGCGTGGCTGACGCACATGAGCAGCAGGTTTGAGAAAGCAGGTGTGTGCTCGAGTGGGCACTGGACTGTAACGCAGGCGGACGCTCTCGGGTTTACCTGCTTCCTGTTAACAGATTATTGGCTCAGAGAGCATCTGCTTCCACACTGAGGCCGAGGCTGAGAAGGGGCTTCCCTGCATCCCACTTGACGGTCAGAGGTAAGCTTTTTTCCCTTTTGAAGGCACAGCATAAATGTAAGTTGGAGCGAAGCCTAACTGAAAGATTTGCATTGTTTGTGATCTGAATTTACGGAGGAAAAATACATAACATATGCACGGGGATAAACACACACACATTTCCACAAAATAGGGTCCGAGACAGAGTTGTTTCTGTGAATTCAGGTTCTAGATAGTATGTGATTTAAAAAATTACAGATATGCCTTGGGATTTTAAATAACTATTATTTTAACAAACTGTGATGGCTTGTCCTTGTGGAGAGTCTTCATTAGCCAACTACCTTTCTCTCCTACAAACAATGGATTCTTTTATGACCTGCACTTTGACACATGTTAAGAGAACTACAGGGAAAACTAGCCGCATTTAAATTGTGTGGCATTTATTTTGAAGCCTTGTGAATGATTTAACTCTTAATGCACCCATGTATATACCTTTAAATTAAAGAACTCCCATTCCACATGCAGGTCACAATAGCCGGTGGATTTTGTTCTTGCTTATTCTGGACTGAGCGTCTCAGCGTGCTGTTTGATTTAGTCCAAGGTAGCTGTGGAGCAAACAGTGTAGGTATTGGAAGCTGCTCACACCTCCTTTCTGAGCAGGCTTCATGCATGCCAGACTAGCCAGAGCACAACACCCCCATTGTGCTCCCCAGTCTCAGAATCAATCGAGGGAAAGAAAAGCAGTAAAGTCTCCACATTGAGCTCAAGCACAGAATAGTATGTGGCGGTTAAACTTCTTTTATTGCGATTTTTCTCACAAGCAGATAAGTTTTAGAGAAGAGTGAAACCAAAAACACCACACACCCATACAAACATAGAACAATAATTGCAGCGGATGTTTGCTGTCGGTTGCTCTGTGATAATAGCAAAGGCTTTGATTTGCACTGGCAATTGCCCCTTAGTGAGCATTTCTTGGATTTATAGTCTCTTAGGAACAAAGCTGTTTCTGTTGATTGAAATTGGTCAGTCAAATCAAAATTTCTGGTAAGGAAATGACCAAAGTAATGATTAAATTCTGTTTCGGCAACATTTCAGCTTTACCTAAGTCATTTATATTGTTGGTCTACCAGAAATCTCAGATCATTTCAAATGCTACTGAAAATATTTAACATAAAATATTTGATTTAAAACTTTGAATAAAACCTCCATTTGTTAAAGATAGAATTTATCATAAATTTTTAAATAAATAACCAAAATTTACCTAAAAGAAATGTTATTTGCTACTTTTACTTCCCTTTGCCAAATATGGATGGTATAAGGAGTCTCATTATTTTAAGTATAACATTTTTATTGATACATCTAAGCATGAAACACCTGTTTCACAGGTATAACAATGTTAACATACACTCAGATAAGAGAATTATGAGGCATAAGGAGAATTTTTTTCAAAACTTTTGTTCCAAATGATATTCAAAATATAAAGAGGTAGAGTTAAGAATTCTCAAGGTAGGAAATCATGTATAAATGTTTAATAAGAACAAATAGGAATGTGACTGTGTGCATGGGGCTGTATGGAATGAAATGGCATGGGGGTGGCATTGTTCCTTACATTTAACTTTTGAAGCAAAACTAAATGAATAGAATTAGCTTTGAGTCAAAATCTATGAATAAAAACATCAACCAGGTAAATGATTCTATTAGACCAGGATGAGTGTAGAAAAAGACGCCAATTTCACTCCCTTTGCATTGCCAAAAGAATTCTTAGAATTAACAGTGTGGAAAAAAAAATGAGTTCATATTAATTTTTATTGGGGGAACTTTAAGAAGAACAGGGTGTGGAAATCCCCAAGGCATTTCTGACTTATGTACCCTGTCATTCTTGTGACAGCCCCATGTGGGACCAGAGCCTGAGCTCACAAGAAGACAGACATTCAAACTTTATGCCTATATGTTGGGAAGGTTTTAAGGTGATAGCTATGAATAATGAACTTTCTAAGTCAAAATATGTGCACATATTGACACAGTAATTCATTCAATAATTTTGAGATCAAATTCAAAGACATGATCTTCATCTTTCAAGATTATTTTCTGTCTATTTTTAGTTCCTTATTTTCACCACTTTCCAACTCTCTCACTGGCAAAATCAAATGTTTTCCAATTTTCAAAACATATTCTACCAAAGGTTTGCACATGCAATATTCCATGTATAAAGACTTTTCCTTTAATTCTTCCCCCTGTAATATCAGCTGCCTTTCATGAATCCTTCAAAATTCACTAAGGATGTCTCTTAATTGCTCCTTGCAACCTTCAGCTATGTATGAGTCTTACTTAGGTCTGTGGAGCTGTCTATGCATTTGTCTCTGCTATAGGCTTCCAGAATTTCACTGACCTCTAATTCTAAAATACTTTGTCCAGCATCTAGAACTCGACATTCAGACACTGTACTGGTAAGCTTGGGCTTCTCTATTTCTTTTTTAGTTACTGTAAATATAGACTTAACCTAGAAACTGAAGTCGTAACACTGCATTTTATCAGAGAAACTCAAAAGCTCTAGAAAAACAACAATGAGGCTTTAACTTCTCCAATATGAGAGTGTACCTTTAGGATCACAATATCTTGCAGGCTACAAACGTTGTACAACAGAACAGAATTTTCTGAAGGTTAATAACATAGAAATTTTAAACAAAGCAACTTGAAAAGTTTTAATATAGAAATATTCTTTTCTATCTAAAGCTCTTATAAAATTTTCTGGGAAAAGCAAGTGTAGTAAATATTCCTATTTGGAATTTACTCTAAATCAGATTATTTACAATTAATGCTGATTTGATGATTAGTAGCTGATTATAATGTAAGATATTTGTGGAACTGTTTTTCACTGTGAAGCCAGAAAAAAGGAAAAGTCATGAACTAGAAAGGGACCAAATAACTAAAATAAAGTCTACAATAGCAGAACAGGTGAGAGAAAGAACATTTTCTTTGGATAAAGATACAGTTTTGATTATAAAGACTTCATATTCTGTTTTCTATTTTAAATAGATTATTATTTTTAAATAAGCAGAATGTTAATAACCTTTAAATGTTAGAATTGTCACAATTCTGTCATCAAGAATAAGAATAAAAATAAATAATAAATATGTCATTCCTGGTCTCTAATATGTCCCTGTTGAAAGCAAAAATTATAATTAGTTTTATATAAATTTTTCTACATAGAGTAACAGACAAGGAAGTTTAAAAGATCCAAATGTTTGGAATTAAAGAGCAAAATATTTAGAAAATTACTTAAATTCACATTTCTATACATTTTCCCATTATATTCCAGCATTGAGTTTTTTAATAAAAGTAAAATAAATAGCAGTTCTCAATTATTATGCTGTCCATTAAAGGTTTATTGTGGCTATCTTCCAGTTGATTTTATTGCATATACGCTTTTAATGTATACATGCTAGATAAGAGCTACAATTGAAATTGAAAATTGAAATTGATCTTAAAGATTAATCATGTTTAATAAATTATTTTATATCTATAGTAATTAGACTATAGGAAACATGATTCCATAATATATCTGTATCATTTGCAATATTTTATATTTTAAGCTATAACATTTTGAAATTCAGTTATACATAACTATATTTGACAATGTAACAAAATTAGTTGTACTTGCATTTTATATTGGAGTGTGTAATATGTGATTGTTTTAAATAATTTCCTAAAAGTTTCTCAAAGAAAAGATTTAATTATAGATATGTTAGCTAAGTTCTAAACTATCACTATCAAAAATTGCATTGAGGTTTTCCAAATATCTTTACATGATTATTGAAAAAGTTAAGGCATGTGTTTCGCTATAAGAAAACACTTTTGTAACTACAGAGTTCTAAATATTGGCAAATGACTCTTCCTAGCTTAAGCTCATTAAGATGATATTAGCTGACTAAAATCCAGGGAACCAGCTAAGGCAGACGTATATTTTGGGATTTATGAGCATTACTGCAGAATGCTCTATACTCTGCAGAATCCAGTCTTCAGAACACAGATGTATTAGTTGACTCATTCTGAATTTGGGCCATACAGGCAGTGCTTTTTCTCTTCCCTATACAGATCAGATATACATAATTCCAGCATTAATACTACACTTTACATAGCATTATTTGAACAAGAACAACACTCCTCCATACTTTATATATTTCCACTTTACACTATTAAAACCAAAAGTTTAGGAACTCTGCACTTGGATTTTAAAAGTGAGCTCCCTTTTGTAGTTTATCATACCTCCTCACCTAATCATTTCAGTTCTGTGCACTAAAGTTAATAAGGGAAATGAGATTAGATAACAATAACTCCAGCTATTCTTGTGCTGTATCATCTGATGAAGTTTCAGCACATTCTAAAACAAGTCCACTTACTCTGTCAGAAATATTAGTGGTCTAGAGTAACGACTATGTGTTTTATTCCATGGAAATAAGCTTTTAAAAGAACTTGCCTCTCAATTTCTAGATCTGGAAATTTAGAGAGCATAGCGATACTAGTGGTTAAGTTGAAAACTTTATAAACACTTAGTTGTTCTGCTACAGTATGAATAGTGTTTGTTGATGGGTTGTTTGATGTTCCTAGAGCACCAACTTAAACAGTTTAGGTGGAAGAAGTTTAGAAGAGTGGTAAGTGGCAAAAAGGTAAAACATGCAGGCTGCTTGGCAGAATGAAAGTTACAGGGACAACTCAACCAGTGTTAGAATGGCCTCTGAGACACTGCAGGTATTCAGCAACCAGGTCAACCTATTAAATAGTCAACATTTGCTGCATAATGACTCATAGTAATCAGATCATTGCCTGATGCTGTACTATGCTAACACATGATTAAAAGTTCTGTTTGTTTCTAGGAAAAAGGACGATTTAAATTTTTTTCTAAAATCAAAAAAAAATGGAAACAGAAAGATTAGAAAATGCTATTATTTTTTAAAGCAAAATATAATCATTCTGAGGAGCACTATATTTCAACAATTACTTAAACAGGAGTATTATCAGAAGCTTGAATAAAGCTCAAATGC